CCCCAAAACCCCAAAACCCCAAAACCCCATGAGAGTGGAGTAATTTTGCTAATTTAGAGAGAATAATTATCTGGTCAGTATACTTGTTCTAGATTACTAATTAAAAATCTAGTCTTAATTCTTAGTATAAGAACTGAAAATTTAAAACTTAACCAATAATTACAATGGAAATTGAAACTTAATTTAATCAGCTACCAAAAGAGATGGAAAAGAAAAGCATAGATTATAATGCTGTGAAAGATCTAGTATTAATGCTGATCAGCAATGTGACTAACACTGATAATGACTGGCTTCAAGATGCATTAAAAGATACGATGCAAGATGAAGATTATGCACAAGATAAGTAACTTCTCTCCATTAATGAGACCATCGACAATCTAAAAATAAAAAGGTAAGCTTCATTTTATAGTAAATTTATGAATATTAAAGATACAAGAATGACTTCTTTCCTGAGATAAATCATATACATGCCTTTCACTAAAATAGAGGAGGATTGTGTGGATTCCATGCATATCACAACTCTAACTGCTTACTTAGAGCAATAATCGCCAGAAATCAAAAAGATAGATATTAGGCTATTCTCGACACACAAATTATTACAAAGTAAATACTACCAAAAAATTACAATCCATAGGTTTTGGGGTTCATATTAGAGAAATATAAAGATACTTATTAACTGTACAAATCATGCCTACGTTAATAAAACTGACAAAAAAACGTTGGTAGAGGACTCAAGCCCTCTAGAAAGAAATCATCTTCGCTATCTCCTTATGAAGGATGACTTAATCTTGCAGTTAGTAAACAATTCTTCTCATATCGAGGTATTCCTTCATCCAATGCTCTACGCTTTTGGGCTATTCTAACACAGCATTGATCAAATTAAGGATTTAGAGGAGGATATTTTGAGATTTAGAAGCACTGAGAAAGAAGCTGTGTTTTCTCTTTACATCGGAGCAGTTAACCATTGGATTAACTTAATTATCCACAAGCCTCCAGGAGCTTTTTAAACTCCTTAATTCTATCTACTTGACTCTTCTAACCTTAAATTTCTTGACAAGGTTGAAGAACAGTTGATAGAAGTTCAGGAAAAGAGATGTAGGAGAAAGGCTTCAATTGGATTGAAGCCATCCTCCTAATTTATGGTAAAGATGTCTATTCATAGTTTATTTGATCAAAGAAGAATATATGAAATTCTTGTAGATGTTTTCAATGGAAAATCTTCAATTGCTCAATATTATTGCAGCTCATTTACTAATAATATACTCAAGTAATTCCATATGTTTACAGATAGTCTTCAAACTGAGCCAAGCAATCTCTCTGTCCCAAAGTCTAGAATGTTTGCTTAGTCTAAGCCTTTATCAGAGGATGAGGAGAAATCATTAGCAAAATATGATCTTAGTGAATTCTTATATCCTTTCAAGCAGGTTGAAGGAGACTACAAATACTTGAAAAAGCTAAGTTCCAAAGAGGATCTTTTAAATTTCTTTGATTTGATACAAACTTTCCTATCCTCTTGCTAGAGGCCATAGCACATTGAAGCTGATATAAATAGAAATGTCCACTCATTTGGAATTGAAGGATTCTTTAAGAATGATATTGGAAAGCTTACAAATTGGACCTAAGCTCTATTAGATGCTGATGAAAAAATAAAAAAAGTCGTGGGTTAAGGAGAATTATTAAGTCAAAAGGGTGCTTAGAATGTTAGATTATTTGAATAGTTGATTGCTGTTGTTAGATAACTTAATAGTAAGCTACAAAAGCCTAGTTTACTATAGAAATTCAGAAATTGCCTATCTTGAAAGGAATTATATTATACGATTAATTTATATTCTAAGTCTTTTAGCTTAATTATTGATTTTTTGGATGGGGTTTTGGGGTTTTGGGGTTTTGGGG